GCGTCGTTGTAATCTCGCCCAGAATCCAAACAGACCTAGAATCGACACTGCATGTGTTTGGAACATTTATTAAAAACAATATAATTTGTTTTTGAAAAGTTTACTTTCTTGACTAATATACGACATAACGTGTTACAATATATGTTAATTCTAACATAGTATAGCTTATTATTTTATGTGTGTTATCCGTGAACGTTATATATCATGAGAACGTGTAAAAGAAATATTTAAATTCTAAAATCTATCGTCAATTTTGAACAAGCGAATGACAGTGGCAGATTTTTTGTAAATTGAAAACTGCTGATGAACTTTTCATTTTGTTGTAAAACACATAAAAAAGTAACTTGCTTAACATTTCCTCAGCCTTTTTTAAAACTCTTTAAAATTGATTATTAGTGACATCAGTATGAAAGCCAAAACAACGAGGTAAGAGTTTTCAATACTCGAAATAAGTATGAAAGCGACAAATTCGTATTCTTTTACCTAATACATATTTATTTAAAATCGTACTAATGTAACCTAACACTTAAAGTGAAGTAGTATCTATAAACTAGTCTTATAACAAGAATATAATGATAATGGAATTTCAATATTGCATTCAAATAGCCTTAATTAAGTACATATAAAAAAGTGAAGCGAAAGCGAAAAGCTATTTTGCTCGGCATCGTATAAAGATTCTGTCTGGATGGTTCGATGGAAGGAACCAAATCCGTGAGTTTCTTGTCAAAAAGCACGCTTTATGCAAAGAAAAGTTACGATCTTAATTGAGTCCACATAAAAGCTGTCTCCTAGAGTACGCAAACGCTTTTGTTTTACGTTCATTCTAAGTTTTAACAACTAGATAGCGTTTTATTACGCTTCGGTTCTGGTTCGCTTTCACAGCAGTGTGCAGAGGCCATTACAGTTTGTGCTATACTAAATTAAATATCTTAAGATCTACGAACTTATCCTAAGGTAACTTCCGTTTTTTAACTTTTTGTATTCAGGAGGTGGATGATTATGACATTCTTTGATTTCAATAATATATCCTTCGTCACTTAATCGTATGCTTGATTTACATTTACTTAGTTTTTTGGAACAATAATAAGTTCTACCTGCACGATTATTTCGAGAGTACGTGAAGCCGTTTGCCATGAGTAGAGTGCTCCCACCATACGTGGAGATGAATGTATAATGCTTTGTCAAAACTGTAAGAAAATATAAAATTTAACAATAAATAAGTCTTCTAGCGTAACCACAATCTAGTCAACTTTAATACGAAATTCTTTCGGTGTATTTCGGTTATAACACAACTTCGAGAGAAGTACGAACGAGTATTTTTGTTTGGTTAAAAAAACGCATACTTTTTTATTTATTTAATTTTATTTAAATAACAGATTTAAAACTAAATAACTAAAAATAAAACTTGGAAGGAAAACAATCATTATTTACAACCAGATGTTTTCAATTTTAACTATAGTACCCAGTATTATAGTTGGCACGCAAATGAAATAGCAAAGTACCACTGATAGTGAGGTCGATATTAAACTATTAGCTTTCCGCGACTCCGGACGAGTAAAATAAAAAAGGAGTAGCCTATGTATTCTTCTAGAATATCTTCTATATCTATACTAAATTTCAATGAAATCCGTTGAACGGGTTAGGCTGCAAACTCTAACAAACCTCCATCCATCCATCCATCCAAACTTTCGCATTTATTATATTATGATAATGATATTATGAAAAGCATGATTAAAATCGACACCAATGAAAAAAGCTGTCACTGATAGGAAAAATATTAAATCTCATTTTATCGACATACCAACTTAAATACCGAGTACTTAATTGTTTTAACTACCTTCAAATACATTACGAATATAACTTCTTGTAGTGCCCTTCGTTTGTAATTTTGTATTGTGGAGGTCCATGTGAATGTTCCCCCCTTATTTCGACAATCCGTCGCCGTTCATCCAATCGGACGCTGCCTTTACATTGAAAACCTCTTTTAGAGCAATAAAAAATATTTTTCGAACGATTATTTTGGGAATACGTGTATCCTTTCACCATGAGTAATTTGTTACCGCGATGTGTAGGTATGAATGAATAATCCTTTGAAATAACTGCAGAAAAAGAACAAAAAGTCAGTGAAATTTACGAATACCCTACAATCATCTCACTAGTTTCGTAGAAAAATCAAACAAAAAATGGGATCCACCTGCAAGAACTACCTTTCGAATAAAAAAAGAATTATAAAAATCGGTCCATTAGCGGCGGAGTTATGCCGTAACACACATTAAAAAAAATAAAAAAACATACAGACGAATTGAGTACCTCCTTATTTTGGGAATCCGGTCAAAAACCATAAACAGACCAATAAAGAAACTTCATCACTCGGCTCGTTATTTACATTAATTGGCTGTTCAAACTTTGAATATTTTTTTGAAACAACTTTAATGAGTAATTTTAGTAGACCTGTTTATCATCATCATCATCATCAACTTGCTCTTATCCCTTACGGAGGGTCGGCACAGTATGTGCTGCTCTTCCATACATCTGTCAGCCGTCATATCTGAATCCACTCCTTTCTTAAGCATATCCTCACACAATCCATCCATACTTTTTCGGTCTTCCTCTTCCTTTGTCGCCATCCACATTCATTCTTAACACTTTCTGGTTTATGTCCCCCATCGTTTCGTCGCATAACATGTCCATATGGGTCGGATTATTATTGCTAAAAAACAATGATTTTACATTTATAAAGTTGTTATAAATTTTACAGTTCCTACACTAGGTTCTAGGCCCGTCTTGTAGGAGCCAGGGTCCTTCCGTCTTAGTGCTATGTGAATTCAAATGTTTGTGTTTGTGTGCGTGTGGATGCATCATGTTGCGTATTGTATTTCTGTAGGTGTGTGTAGTATTGACAGACAAGTAAAATAAAACGACATCTTAGGAATGCGTAATGACGACTAACTTTATTATTCTTAATAACTCACATTATTTATATGCCACATGCCCTTTCTTTTTACAAAGATTTTAGAATTAAAGACAACAAATAAATGCCATTTATGATACTTACTAATTCACACGTTTTATTCTTATATTACCTTTTACATTTTTTATAGAAGAAAGTAAAAGCAAACAAAAGAAAATCTATAAGAATCAAAAGTAAATAAATATATACTTTTTTATCTTACTTCTTTTTTTCCAATTATTGCAACTAATAAAAACTATGTAAACCGCTTCGATGAACGAAACTGTCTTTCTGAACGTATGTGCGTTTGGTTAAAAGGTTCTATATCGGAGGACACCAGAGGGTTGTTGCAATTAGGCGACGTTTATTTTCTTTTTAAATCTTTGAGGTTACAAAATAACAATAGGTTGGTAGTCTTTATATTTTAAAGTAACGTCCAGTAGGTGTTTTTATATATTTCGGTCGCTCATGAAGATGTACGTTCTGAGCTTGATGGACTCGGCCGTTTATATCCAGCCTTATTCTCGCTTTACAGCCGGCGTCCTTTTTAGAACAGTAGTAATTGAAAGATGTTCCATTCTGAGAGTATGTGTACCCATCCAACATAAGCAAACGTTTACCTTTTCTAGTTGGTATAAAGGTGTAATTAAATGAACCTGAAACAATAGTATTATTTGAAATACCTATCTTTGAAAACATTTGTGATTAAAACAAACCAATAACTAACATCAGTACATGAACATATAGTTGTCTTTGTTTTTTAAAGAGAGTGAGTGGGATAGAAATATGTTTTTGTACATGAGAAAACATTTGTGATGAAAACAAACCAATAACTAACATCTGTGCATGAACATACCGTTGTAGTGAGTGGGATAGAAATATGTTTTTGTACATTTTTAGCAATAAAACTTACATTTATGTTAGTTTTTACGCCAATACAAATGATGCACTTATCTCGCTATCAAATTTACGATCAGTAATAATTAAAGACAAAACAAACTAATATATTAAATAACAATTATTGATACGATATTGTTAGGAAAAAGTAGGAAAAGTGGGGGGTAGTTTTATAAAACACTTGCAAGGAGTCTCACAGGGCTCGGTCCGACAGTCCGTCATTCGCTTAGAAGCTCAATAGCTGAGTACATTTCTAGTCGTCACCACGTAACGTTCGATATCTTTACATATGTAGTTGACTTTGTGTTAGTTTTAAAGTAATTAACAAGTATTGTTGATTTGGCCGATCGTCTATATTTTTTTAAATCATTTTTATCGAAATACCTAAAAATATAATATTTATAATCATAAACAAATACAACAATATTTTTTATTCTGAACTATAAAGCATATTATGTAATATACTTCAAGTCAATTTTGGTACAATTGATTAATAACAATTTAAAAAAGTGTTTTTTATGTTTAACATTTCTAACAGAATATTTACACTATTGGTCTTCTCATCTACGTTTTTTTTTTATTTCTTTCAGGATATCAATGTATTTTTGGGCCGTTGGTATGGCGGTGGAAACAATTAGTGAGAAGAAAATCACAAAACATTTTTTTCTTCCACTATTATACGTATGTTTTAATTTTACATCTTTTCTTATATTCATATTACCAATGTAAATACTTTACAAAATCTTGTTAGAAGTATCTTAAAATATATGTACAAGTTAAAAATACATAAATTTATACACACATAATTTAAGTCACACCATAGCTTAAAAAACAAAGAAAAACGGTCTAAGACCAAAAGTTCAGGAAGAGCGAGGCGATGGCGTATTTTATTACTTTACGTAGTATTATTACGTAAGATTTGGTTTTAACACTTGCCCTATCACCGACCTATTTTTTTTATATTATAAGATGGCAAACGAGCAAGGGACCACCTGAATCGGCCAAAATAGCGAAGCAACCGCTGCCCATAAACATCCGCAAACGCAGATGCGTTGCCTACCCTTAATCGACGAAGAAGGCGCACTAAAAGATGATATTTCCCCTTCCTATGCGTCTCCTCCACCGTCAAATGCACTTTCCCTTCCCATCCTTTCTCACAAGAAAAAGAAAGGTGGGAAGGAAAAGGGACCAAAAGGAAAAAGGGACGCCTGTCTTCTGTGTGGCCTACCTATAACACTTCTTTCTGTGACCTACAAGTTCATTATCTTAGAACGTGTTGTCTTATCTTTATACAACTTAGGATATTTGTAAATCTTTCTTCTTGACAAAAAGAACACTTCCTTCTTCTTGATCATCGCCGTCAGGTTCTTCAATACCACCGACCACCTCTTCAGAGTGTTCCTCATTAATATGCTTAAATAACAACACGCTGTCTGACGCGTCGGAGTGTATAACTTCATCGCACATCTTACATTTGTACTGATTGTCTCCTTGATCCTCAAAGTACGATGTTTCGAAGGTCTTGTCTAAAATTAAACATAATTATATATTTAATTGTAGGATATAATTTGTGTGAAGTAGAATAACTAAAAATTGTGTAGCGTTGAAACTTGAATATAGTCGGTTTAACTATTTAAATTTGTTTAAAGTAGCAAAAACTGAACTAACCTGTAGGTTTAATAATATATTTCTGTAGCTTGTCGATAGTACCTTTGGGTATCTTATGAAAATTAGGACTATTAGTTATAATTTCATACGCTTTTTCATGTACTAACAACAAATGACGCTTAAGATTCGACGAGCTTCTAGAAGATCCTGCGAGCTTCCTCTTACAAAGCTTGCATTGGTAAATACGATTCTTTTTAATTTCTTTAAAGAAATTCCATATGCGCGTTTTAAAACTTTCTGAAATATGAAATTTATTAATAAAAACGAAAACAAAACACATAAAAAACGAATGTTAGCAATTTGTTTTAAATGTAAAAAACACTTACTCTTCCCAGGGATTGCTCTATCCGCTAACCATTTGATTTTCTCTTCGAATTTTGCATCGTCTTCGCTTACGAACTCTAAGTTTCCAAAATCTACTATTTTATCGACTGCGTGAACTTCAGATACGATTAGACTTTCGTCTGTATTTGTATCATAATTTTTCTTTGAAACTCTGTCTCCAGATTCTCCTTCCATAGGCTCTCCTTCTTCCGTATTCTTTTCATTTTCAGGATCACTTTGTACCACTGTTGCAGTTTCATCGACCATATATTCTTCAAGATATTCTGCTTCTCCGATTGCCACTTCTTCTACTTCTATATCTTCCTCACTCTCTTTTATTATTTTCTGTGCCTCTGCCTCCGAATTTATACCAAATTGTTTCCAAAAAGATTTCAAACTTTCCTTTGTTTCCCTTTCAAAAACTTTAGGATGCTTAAATTTAATATGACGCTTCAAGTTGCCGTGGGCTTTCGGCATATTTAGAACATTATTGCACATTACGCATTGGAATTGGTTTTCACCCACCTCGATGCAATATTTTGCCCAAGGGCTAGGTTTCTTCCTAGTATCGACTATAAAAAAATGATTAAAAATGCAATAAACAACAAGGACCAATATATCACATTGACTAACATTAAATGACATACGTACAACGAGAATTATCCTTCTTTTCAGTTTCACGGTTCACAAATTGATGTTTTAATTTAAAGTGACGGACCATATTACCTCGGCCCATTCTTGTTGAGCAAATCTTACAAATGATTTTATTGTTAGAGAGTTTTTCGAAAAATTTCCGATACATATACTTATCTGCAAAACAACAATAAAAATGTAAGCTATATTTTTGATATGAAATCCTTAAATTTAAATATAAGATCATATAAACGATTAAATAAAACACTTTTTTTTTTAAAATATAGTTTTTATACTTATAAAAATAGAAGGTTTGTCATATATTTCTTCATTTTCATAAATTATACTGCATTAGTTAAAATACAAATTTGGCATATACAATAGTGGTTGGTTTTAACTTATTTTATTTTTTGATACCTTTACATTCGTCATTATTTTAAATAATTAGACCCGATGTACCTATTTTAAGAGTAAATATAATGTATAAGATAAAATTCAGTAAAATCTTATTTATATAAGTCCTTAAATTATACCATAAGCTCGAAATAAAATCACATCCAACTCGAAACAAACGATAACTAGGTGGTAAATCTTAGGTATTACCGGTAAGTCTTAGAATTCTCCGTTATTCCGACCTTTACAGTAACATATCCCATTACGAGGAAATAGTTTTACCTAGAAATTATTAACGTATCCAAGATAATTCAGATGATAAGCACATAAGTAGATAATTGTTTTTACAATTGGACGGTTATCAAATGAATGAAGCCAAGAAATTTTTTTGTTGTAAAAGTAAAGCTGACAAAGGCTATAATAGGCTGCTATAATAAAACTTAAGATATCTTCTAATAATAAATACATTAAAACATCAGTTTTCCACTAAAAAAATAATAACCAAACTTAATATTAAAAAAATGAGTATTTAACAAAAAAATAAAGTAACATTTATTTGTATCAATTTTTACGTTCTAAAAATAAAAAATATAGTATGGCAATCTTGTTGGCGACAAAGTTGTATAAGAAACAAATTATCATTATTTTTTTTAAGTTATGATATCAGACTCTATGATATTTACTAATATTCCTTGTAACCATGCCAAAGCTTGTGTCAACGGTCTATCAGGAATATTCACAAGGCAATATTTGTATGTTAACAGTAAGAAGTGTCACAATTTTTTTCAATACGTTGATAAATACGACCGGCGTTAGGGTAGTTAGCGATTGTAGAGAACAGAGTAACATGGAGATGGTTGATGTTGATGAAAAAGATTGGAAGCTATAATATTTCCATACTCGTCCAACTTTATGCGTGCTTTACAGCCAGTGTTCTTTTTCGTGCAATAATAAAGTAGGGTATTCATGTGCTGCGCGTATGTATACTCCTTGCACAATATCCAATGTTTCCCTTTCACCTTTGAAGATGGAATAAATTTGTAGCTAATGTTTCCTGAAAATACATCAGAGAATTTAAGAGTAAGTAACTATTAATAAAGACAGTTTTCATTTAAACCAAATGTTCTTTTAATAGTAACATGAGATATCAAATCTCCTTAATAAAAACTTGTCACCGATTTCCATTATTACATTTACTAAGGTGCTAATTTTCCTTCCACATCCTAATAAAGAATACAAAAATTATAATCAATTGAATACTTCTTTTGTTTAAGAAAATCTCAAACGATCACTATTTAAAAAAAAAACAATTTATTACTTTATTACAAACAAAAGTTTTTCTTCGACAATAAAAATATGCTTACATTATTAAACACCTTCATCATCATCCTCCTAATCCAACTCCCGCAGGATGGGCATACCAGGTTTTTGTCCTTCAACATAACTCTATCATACGTCATCTGTCATCACTCCCTTTTTGATCTTGTTACCTTTCACGCAATCCATCCATCTCTTTCTCGGTCTACCTCTACCGCTGTACCCTTACACTCTTATAACTAATGTTCTCCTTGTAACATGCAATTCATCCCTCCTCATAACATGCCCATACCATGCTAACCTTTTACTCCTTAACTTTTCTACCATTGGGGCTACTCTCAAACTTCCTCTACTATACTCATTTCGTATCTTATCCATTCATGTTGACCCACACATCCATCTTAACATTCTCATTTCTGCCACATGTAGTCTCCTTTCATCCGTCCCTTTTACTGCCCAACATTCAGATACATACATCACGACAGGTCTTACTCCGGGTATCAGAAACCTACTAGTATTTGGCACAATTTTTTCGAATGGCCTCCTGCCTGTTGCCAACCCTACTCGGGATAAAAACCTTCATATATTAAAAACATTTTTAATAAGATAACAAAGTTGACATTTGACTAAGGCTACATAATAGAAAATAAGCATTTAATTATATTTTCACAAATTTTCCTGGGTACAATTCAATACATTTCGGTGCCAAATGTTTATGATCAGATAGAGCCATTATGATTTTCCCATCATCATCAAGTTTGATTCTTGCCAAACAACCGGACTTTCGTTTCGAACAGTAAAACATCTTCGAACTCATATGTTGATAATATGTATGACCCTTGTACATTAAAAGTGGTTTCTTTTTATTCCTGCCACAATGTATCATCTTGTATTCAAAAGATTCATGAGCTGTAACACAAATAATTAAAATAGAGATAAATATTTGCTTATAAAATATTAAAGCCATTGAAGCCAGGGTATACTTAAAAAAAACAGTTATTTCTTAACCAGTATTCTCTACTCATCCATCTGAAACAACCTGTATAGGTGTTGTTTACAAAGCATTATTGTGATATTTTTTTTATAAAACAGAACATTTATTTTGTGCAAGTATTGAGGTTAGGAAAACCAATAGTTACATTATTTGATGCTATAAAAGCTATGTAATATGCCTATTGCAAATACTAAATCTATCATTAACTGCGACTTAACATTGTAAACTACCTGTAAAAAACATTACTTAGTATATAACTCCAATCCAGACCATTTTGATTGTTCTTTACCTTCTTGGAAATTGATCCAACAAAAGTGTTATGTTATTATGTAAATTTTTACCATTTACCATACAATCAACTTTTCAGTCGTCTATATTGAAAAACTTGTTACTGCAAAAAATTTTTTGCTACACAAGATAATTAAAAATGAAATAAAAGACTAATATTAATGTAAAGATTTATTAAAACACCTTTAAGCAAGCAATACACATTAATAAATCAACATTAACACATCAAGTTCTACCTCACATCACAATTCTACTTTGATACCAAAAAATATAAAAACAAAAAGATCTATCAATGAATTACATGCCTAGAAAATCTTAGACACATAAATAATATGGCAAATAGCCAGACATATTATAGTAAAAACAGATTTAAACTATGTAGAGGAAAACACATTGCACAATAAACAAACATATATGTTAAATAAGAAACTAATTCATTTAGAAAGCTATTTTGGGTTACAATAAGGTAATAGTTCATATTTTCAATACGTTAGTTGAACAACAACTACAAAAATAATCATACCAACAACAACATAATATGCTATTCTTGAAATCATAACACATAAATTAACTTTATTGATATAAACGGTGGTACAACGGTGTATCTTAGAGGGTACCTAACATTAGACATTATTAAAAATAGTCATTTTCAACACGTACTTCGAAAGATAATAGTAAATAATAATAAACAACTAACACTTACCTTCCCGCGTAGATCAGCAAATCGATTAAAGTACCAGGAATCGCCATAAAACCTCGAATTGAACACACACCAGATATATCACATATAGAAACACAATTAATAACACTATTAAACATAATTAAAACCCATAACAACACTCTTACAACTTTGTAATCTCACGACACATATAGGTTATTTCTTTAAGACGTCTTTTAATGCAATAATAGCACAACATACAGTTCACGTGAAAGTTATTTTTACACTCTTTAGTAAAATCGCACATTGTTGTAATAAGAGAAAGAACCAATTTAAACACAATAAAAACAAAAATCGGAAAATTTGTTTTTGACAATTGTACAACAACTAGGGAGGCACTAGTACTTTCTCGAATATCGGTTTTTGTAAAGTTTTTAGTTGTCGGATTTTAACGTTTATTTTATTCGTAGTATTTTAAAACCAAATTGAAAGACAAAAAAGAAAGGAAAAATACTTTTTGTTGCTCTTTATGGCAGTTTTAACTGAAATAAAACTACATGTCAAGTTTGTTCGGATGTTAACCGATTATTAATTCTACTTAAAGTCGTAATGGAAGCAATAAAGCGTCAATAACATGTTAACATGCAACATATGAAATATTGATGAACTACCAAATTATTTTAACATAATCCAAAATTAATTTAACGTGTATCTTTAAATTGGCCAAATCGCGAAAATAAGTGTTGTTTTTTGAAGAGAGAAAAGTTGAACTACAACTTTGACGTTTCAAACTTCAAACGCAGAAGTATAACCTAACTTAGTAGAAGTTTTGTTTATTTTCTATAATTCATTATGTTATTGTTGTTCCTTAATTATTTATGAAAGTGATATATTTCAGATGTATTCAAATTTTGAAATACGTTATGAAATGTTAACACAAAGCTTGAGTTCTATAGTGATCAGTATATTCGTGCGTTGTTCATAACATGAGAAAATATACTCAGTTTAAAGTGAATAGAGTTTTTAATATGAATAGTGTTAGAAGTTGTTTATTGTTTTGAATTCAGTGGGGAGAAATATCCGAGAAAATTTTGGGAATGCATTATTTGGAGTCAAGGTAAGTTTGTATATTATTACTCTATCCTGCTTTGAGATACCTTGTTACTATTTGGATACTATTTAACAAATAATGTATTTGCATATTTTAGAACAGAACTAATAATATGCAACAAAAGAGATATTACAGGCAAATCTTCACTGTTTTTCCTACAGATTTGTTTAACAAATAGGTTATAATACAATTACTACTATTAAAAATATAACTTTTTAGCAACTCAAGGTTAGCGATACGCTGTATACGACTCTCTCGCATTCCTTTATAACCACAACTAAAATGGTATTGTGTAGCAACTGATGAACAGTGTTTCCGAGACATTCATTTCAATGCCTAATCTTTTTTTAATTTCTTTCAGGTAAGTGTTACATATCTGCAATTGGTAAGTAGATGCAATCAACAATCCACCAATCGCAAAGAAATGTCAAACATACTTTTCTATACAAAAAGGTTTTTATGTTCCTGTTTGAACTCAAAATCAGGTGTTGTATATTTATTGTTTCTATAAAAATATTTCAATGAAAAGGTACTGTCACAAACTTTTATCTGAAAATGTAAGATGAATTAAGAAAAAAAATATTGACTTTTAATAATCAGATAATTTTTTAACTATAAACAGTGGTGCTTTATTTTGTTAAAACATTTTTTAAAATATAATATTTAAATGTACAACTTCAATAGTATTACCACAGCATGATTATATAATTGAGGTAAGAATTACATTAAGCTATTTTTAATACAAATTAATAAAAAAATGCAACATGCATATATTTGTAATATGTGAATGTGGCATTTATATTATGTAACAGTTGGTGCGGCAATACATATTTATTTATTTATTATTTAATGAAATGAAGTATTATATTCTCCTGAATAATTTTCAGAGGCTGTTATCATTCCTTCCAGCTTCCAGGATTAGAAAATCTATGCATGGATTTTTGCTGTAACAGGGATATATTTATTCATGGTGTAATCAAAAATAATGTGGTGCATACTGGACTTGTTCAAGTCATTATAAGAAAGGCTGTAAAACCTTACATCAAGTGAATCGGAGACACGGTTTAAATTAATCTCAATTTTAATGACAACCATCCTTCTTTAGATATAACTTTGCCTGCTGACATAAAATATATTTTACAAACAGAAAAAAAACCGATTTAATTTTCGCATTAACCTTTTATCAATAGCTAATTTAAAAAAAAACTATTGCTGCTTGAGTTTTTTCATGATTTACGTTTTGAAAAAACTTAAGCACGCTTTTCATTTGAAAATTTAGATAAAAACGGCAAAAAATGTTATAAAAAAATTACATTATGTATTTATTTTATTTTAGAAATAGATTTTTTTTTATTGTATTTTGCATTTTTTACTTACAGAAATACATTTTATTCTTTCGAAAAGAGGACAAAATCTATTGGTGTATAAACAGTATACATTTGCTAAGAACTGTGTTAGTAAGGCTAAAACCAGTTGGACTTGTTCTTCGAGGAGATCAAAAAATTGTAAGGCTCAGGTTGTTCTCACTAATGATGGTGAGTTAATTGTGATCAATGAAGAACATAATCATTCCATTCCCGTTTTCTATATGAATAATACAGGTAACTACGTAAGAATTCCTAATATGGAGAATGCGGAAAATACTGAAAAAAAACTTTTTTATGCCTAATAATTAAGGTTTCAATTTTCAAACTTTATGTCTAAAACTTTTAACATAGTGTTCTCATAAAAAAGATTATAGATATAAGATTTACGTAGAATTAATATAAATCATGCATTTTAAAGAAAAAGTAAGTATTATCTTTGAATAACAAAACAAATGTATTTTTTTTGATGAATTCGAGAGCCTTTTTTTAACATTTGATTGATTTGTACCAAAGAATAAGTATGTAATTTGTTAATTTTTTTTTTACTCTTTGACATGTGACTATGCTTACTTAGGTATTACTTAGTTAACATAAAAAATTAAACCTTATGTTTTTACCACTTATTTTTCCATTTAGTTTGATAATTTTGTTATGTTATTGATTTTTTTAATTATACAAATAATTACAAATTAATTAAGCTATATAAAGTGGATGTTGTAGTATTGAAGTAATTTAAAATTTACTTATTTATAAATTATGATTATTACAAAAAATAGTTTACTTGTCTATTCTAATTTTAAAAATTAATTTCAATTGCATGCAAAATGAAACGAGTAGAACTTGGGGTCGTGTAAAAAAGCTCCTTGCGGCAAATGTAATCAATCAAAAGTGTCCAAATGTTATAAAAATAGTTTTATGTATGAAAATATAATTGTTTGATTTTTATTGTCTATTATTTATATAACATTTATTAACATATAACTAAAGGATAGGCTAGTTAATATTAGGTCATATGACTTTTGCCTGTTACTCTAGTTTGGGTGAATCCACGTCTTTCCAGTGTTATTGAAGTATGTAAGGAATGTAGTGTTTAAGTATTTACTTGACATTTAAAATGCGCGTTTATTCAGCGTGCTTTGAAACGTGTTTTTTACTATCTAACTGCATGATTCTTATAAATCTAGATGTTGTTTTCGTAATTTTATTTATTACCTTAGTTTGACATTTTTAGATCTAATTAGCAGCTAGCCACGTTACAGACGCGTGTGGCTGCCTTTGGTCTGGATTCGTACATCTTATTTCCAATGGCAAAACATGTGCATAACTAAATAACAGCCGCGAGCGTCCAATGACGTGCGACTAGTCGTTAAGTCGGAATAGCAACTTAATTCTGAATGATTTTAGGTCCAGTTTTAATAAAAGGAAACAAAAAAGGCAAATACACACTGCTGTATAGAAAATATTTATTTACGAGACGTACAAAATCAAAGAAAGGCACCGTTTGGAAGTGTGTCGCGAGTAAATCTGATGATTGTAAGGCGTCATTGACAACAGATGATAATTTAAATATTGTAGTCATGAAAGGAGAACATTTGCATGAAAAGCCGGACGCTGAGATTAAGCCGAAACATGTATATTTTACTACACAATAAAAAAAAAAGATTAATCGTAGTGTGCTTTACATTTAAGTAGAAGTACGTTAGGTGTAAGTAGTTGCGGTAATAGAGTATTTTTAAATATTATTATTACATATTTTAGAATAATTGTAAAGGTTTTTTACCAAAAACTTTAATGTTTTTTATTGAATGAAAAAAGATTATTCTAGATTTTTTTCTTTTTTTAACAATTTATTGGACTAAGTCTGTATTGAACGTCACTTATGATATTCTTAAAATGCAAAGCCTTCGTTTCTTGGAACGATGAAATTCGTGTCTTGTTTTTTTAATGTTGAATTAATGTGTGCGGAAATGATGATGATGAATTCAACTGACATTAAATATAATATTTTATTAATAGTGCATGGTATGGTTACGGAATTTCTACCATATCTTGCTTATTACTCTAAAATTTAAAATGCGATTAGTGGTTTTTAGATGTGACAGAATAATGTATCTTTAGAACGCACACTCTTAAAATACTCACAAAATTGTCAGTAAATAATTGTAAAGTTAAATGTAAGGACATATGTCTTTTTTTATCTAATGCGTTATAAAATATTCTAATTTTAATATTATATTATTGTAGTGTGTGCGTTTTTAATATTGTAATGTAAGTCTTGTAAGGTTTCTAGCCCAATTTATTATCATAATGAAAATAGTGTTTTAAAATTTAAACAAAAAATCGCCATGATTGGCTATGCTATACATGTGCAATACGTAAAAAAATTTAAACATCGAGTTCAATTCAGTGGTTTACAGAAATATGAAAATGATACATTTTTATTTACTATTAAATTAATAGTAGATGTTATAATAATTCATTTGAATAGATTATTTGAATAAAATATACTTTACGATAGAATTATTGAAATAGGTTAAATTATTAGTAAATATAAGTACGTAATTATATAAGTACAATATAGTTCAATTTTACCTCAAATATATGCATAGTTACATATTTTAAAATATTAGCACAAAATAAATTTTATAGGTACCTCAAATTAGTATATGGAATATTTTTAATTTGTAAGTGGCTTTATTCTTTTATAAAATTATTGGGGCTTAAAATGTAGTCGTCTTTTAGAATAAATATTATTAACATTTGAAATAAAGTAGACATATCATTTATATTGTTGGTTTTTTTCTTTTTACGTCATCAAAGAATGAAAAAATAGTCAACGTGTTTATTAAGTCATTTAAAGGACTATTTTTACAAGTAAGTATTAAAGTTTAATTAGAATAACATTAAGTTAGAATAGTTAATGTCTTCATTTTA